AGGAGCTCTCCCTCCATCAAAAAACCGCTTTTCTTCAATATCCCTGAGCTTCCCCCAGAACAAGGAAAAGGTGCTGTAGGACATGGAAAACCATTGGTACTCAGGGTTTAAAAACCCTCCTATCCCGTTTTTCCGGCCCAAACCCCTCGGCTCGGGCTGGGCAGGGCTGGGCAGGGCTGCAGGGAAGTGATTCCAGGCCTTGACCGTGCTCTCCCTCCATCAAAAGTTCAATATCCCTGAGCTTCCCCCAGAACAAGGAAAAGGCGCTGTAGGACACCGGGTTTAAAAACCCTCCTATCCCGTTTTTCCGGCCCAAACCCCTCGGCTCGGGCTGGGGAGGGCCGGGAAGGGCTGCAGGGAAGCGATTCCAGGCCCTGACCTCTCTCCCTCTCCCCCCCGCAGCTCCTTCCGCTTCGAGTCGTTCGACTCGTACGACTCCCGCTCGTCGCTGGGCGAGCGGGACCTTTACCGGGCCGGCTACTCCGACTACGGCGACGCCGCCGAGCGCGGAGACTCCTTCGGCACCGCCGGCGCCGGCTCCGGCGGCGGCCACTTCGACTCCCGGCGGGAGCAGCCGCGGAGCCGCGGGAACGGCTTCGGGCTCCTGCGGGGCCGGGGGCAGAACCGCGCCCAGAGCCGGGGCCGCCTCGGCGCCTTCGGCCGCCCCGAGGGATTCCCGCCCTCCTCCAGCTCGGAGCGCCTGTCGGCCCGTTGGAACGAGCTCAACTACCTGGGGGCCGCGCGCGGGATGGGCGGCGCCGGAGCCAACCGGCTGCCCTCCCTCTTCTCCCAAGCCCTGGTGCCCGAGTACGGTGACTACGGCGACTACGGCGACTACGGGGACTACGGGGACTACGGAGACTACGGGGATTACGGGGACTACGGAGACTACGGAGACTACGGAATGATGGGCATGGGAATGGGGCGCTATGGGAACGCGCCCTACGGGATGGGCCGGCAGCGCAACAGGGACAGGATGGGAGCGGCCCCCTGGCACGGGAACACCCTCGCCGTGAGTCCGGGAACGGGGAACGGGGGTCTGGGCGTGTCCGGAGGGGGTTGGGAGTGGAATTCCTGGGAGAGGGAGGAGTTGGTTCGTGGGGGTTGGGGTGGAATTCCTTGGAGAAGGAGGAGTTGGTTCGTGGGGGGTTGGGGGTGGAATTCCTTGGAAAAGGGAGGAGTTGGTCTGTAGGGGTTGGAGGTGGAATTCCTTGGAGAAGGAGGAGTTGGTTTGTGGGGGGTTGGGGTGGAATTCCTTGGAGAAGGAGGAGTTGGTTCGTGGGGGGTTGGGGTGGAATTCCTTGGAGAAGGAGGAGTTGGTTCATGGGGATTGTGGTCATGTCCCAGGGGGTTGGGGATGGAATTCCTTGGAGAAGGAGAAGTTGGTTTGGGGGGAGTTGAGGGTGGAATTCCTTGGAGAAGGAGGAGTTGATTCATGGGGGTTCTGGTCATGTCCTGGGGGGTTGGGGTTGGAATTCCTGGGAGAAGGAAAAGTTGGTTTGTGGGGGGTTGGAGGTGGAATTCCTTGGAGAAGGAGGAGGAGTTGGTTCATGGGGGTTCCAGCCATGTCCCAGGGGGTTGGAGGTGGAATTCCCTCTCCAGGGGCACTTAAAACAACTCCACCCCATCCCAAATCCGCTCTCCAGGGGCACAAAACAGCCTGGGAGTGCTCAATCCATCCCAAATCCATTTACCCCATCCCAAATCCGCTCATCCCATCCCAAATCCACTCTCCAGGGGCACAAAACAACCTGAGAGTGCACAATCCATCCCAAATCCACCTTCCAGGAACATAAAACAGCCTGGGAGTTCTCACTCCATCCCAAATCTACTCACCCCATCCCAAATCCGCTCATCCCATCCCAAATCCGCTCATCCCATCCCAAATGTGCTCATCCCATCCCAAATCTGCTCATCCCATCCCAAATCCGTTCATCTCATCCCAAATCCGCTCATCCCACCCCAAATCTGCTCATCCCATCCCAAATCCGCTCATCCCATCCCAAATCCATTTACACCATCCCAAATCCGCTCATCCCATCCCAAATGTGCTCATCCCATCCCAAATCCGCTCATCCCACCCCAAATCCGCTCATCCCATCCCAAATCTGCTCATCCCATCCCAAATCCGCTCACCCCATCCCAAATCCGTTCATCTCATCCCAAATCCTCTCTCCAGGGACACATAAAACAACTCCACCCCATCCCAAATCCGCTCTCCGGGGACACAACCCCATCCATGGAATCCTTTCCCAAGCCCCCCCCAGCCCCGCGGGATCCCGGAATTCGAACTCCGGTGGGAGCCGTCGAGGCCGGGTGGGACTCTTTGACTTGAACGCTCCTTTGGCGCCTGGAATTCCCCTGATCCGAGGATTTCTCCCCGGTTTAGCCCAAGAGAAGAGGCTTCCGGAGCCGCTCCGGAGGCCGCTCCGACGGGGAAGGGGGTCGGAAGCGGAAACAATCCCAGAGCGGGGACGATCCCGAGGCCAAACAGCCCCGGACCGACAGCGAGGGCGACGACTCCGACAATGGTACGGCCCCGGGTCCGTCCCAAAGCCGCCCTTCTCCCGGGATTTCAGGGGGTTTTCCCGCCTCTCCCGGGGGTTTATCCCGTTCCGGAGCCGCTTCTCCCCCACCCTGAATTGTTTCCCTTTTTTCCCGCAGCGGACGAGGGAGAAGGAGAGGAAAAATCCGGGGATGAAGGTGACAAAGGTGTAAGTGACTCCGGCATCCAGCTCCGGGGAAAATGGGGGAATGTTGCGGCTGCTCCGGGGGTTGGGATGTGGAAAATCCCCCAGAAATAGCGTTGGGAGCCTGGGTATCGTGGAAGGATTTGCCCCCTGGAATTCCCACGGGGATCACGGGTGGATCTGCTGCACTGAGGAGGCTGGAAAGCTCGTGGAGAGGGAAAGTTGGGACCCTGGAGTGGGAAAGTTGGGATCCCGGAGTGGGAAAGTTGGGATCCTGCCCCTGGATGTGGCTCCTGGAGAGGCTCCTTGGGGCTGAATCCCAATTTAGTGGGACTTTTCCAGGTGGGATTTGGATCCTGGGGGCAGTTTTGGGGTCTTGGAGTGGGAAAGTTGGGATCCTGGAGTGGGAAAGTTGGGATCCTGCCTCTGGATGTGGCTCCTGGGGAGGCTCCTTGGGGCTGAATCCCAATTTAGGGAGCGATTTCCAGGTGGGATTTGGATCCTGGGGGCAGTTTTGGGGTCCTGGAGTGGGAAATTTGGGATCCTGCCCCTGGATGTGGCTCCTGGGGAGGCTCATTAGGGCTGAATCCCAATTTAGGGAGGGGTTTCCAGGTGGGATTTGGATCCTGGGGGCAGTTTTGGGGTCTGCAGATCCAGGAAAATGAGGGGCTGGGGGAGGTTTAGGTTGGATATTGGGAAAAATTCCTTCCTGGAAAGGGTTGGAAGGGGCTGCCCAGGGCAGGGCTGGAATCACATCCCTGGAAGTGCCCAAAAAACACCTGGATTTGTCCCTCTGGGGGGGGGGTGGACACGGCTCAGGGGTGGCTTTGGAAGTGCCAGGTTGGGTTGGACGATCCCAAAGGTCTTTTCCAACCTGAACAATCCCGCGATTCCGTGACACGGGTCCCTAATCCGCGGGGATCCGAGTGTTTTATCCCCATCCCTAAAAACGAGGGCCGTCGAATCCCGAAAGGACACGAGGGAATTCCCAACGGAAATAACCCCGGGCTCTCTTTGTGCTTCTCTTTTCCAGGAGAACCGGAATGGGGGGGATTGGGCGGAGCCGGGGGGGGGGGTGTCCCCCCATTCCCGGGGTCCTCCCGGAACGATCCCGCTCCGGCTCCATCCGCTTCCCGTCGGGATGCGCCACCAGCTCCGTGTTGGGATCCCGTCACCCATCCAGGTGCCGCCCAGCCCGGCACGTGGAATTGCCCCTCTGGAGAACCGGGAAGTGCCCAAACCCACGTGGATGTTTCCTTGATTCCCACGGCATTCCTTGATTTCCCTGCCCTGCCAGGCAGAGGGAAAAACATCCCGAGCCAAGGGATTTTCCAGGGAGGCTCCCCGGGATCCCCCTGCTTTGGTTCATTCCTTTCATTAGGTGGGAATTCAGGTGTATCAAAGAATCCAAGGAATTAATCCAGGGAAGGGCAGCTTTCCCTGGGAATTATCCAATTACGGGGCAGAGTTTCGGTCTTTTCCTTCTTTTCCTTCTTCTTTTTGCTTTCCCGATAATTCTCAAGGAATTATTAGAGGTTTATCCAGGGATTCCCGAGGAATTCTTGGGAGTGTGACGCGAGGGACAGATCCCAAACCACCCCCAGGGAAGCAGAACCGCTGGAGCTCCGGGATCTCCCGGGATTTTGGGGCTTCGCTTCGGGAGCGGCTTTTTCAGCCTCGGGGGAAAAAAAGGGGGGAACGGGGAAAAAAAAAAAAAATAGGAATTTTGGGGCAGAAAGCAGGAAATTCCCTCAAGGAGAGGAGATGGAGGGGTCTGGAAAAGTCAGGGCTCTTCCCGTTCTCCCTGTCCCAGTTTGGGAGTCAAGAACTCCTGGAGACCTTGGGAAGAGGTCGGAACTTGGGAGAGATTCCGGAGCCCGACAGAAGTCGTGAGAGCAAAGAGATTCCCCCAAATCCGAGGGCTTTGGGCCCCAAAATCCCGGGAATAACTGGGGTTGATTCCCGCAGCATCCGGGGACGGTGGCGAGGACGACGACGAGGAGGTGAAGAAGAAGAGGGAGAAGCAGCGGAGAAGGGATCGGATGCGGGATCGGGCCATGGACAGGTGAGCACAGGGACCAGCCAGGGATCGGCCAGGAGCGGAATTCCTGGGAATAACGGGGGAAAATCCGCCGGGGGGTCGCGTTTTGGGGCTCCTCGTCGGGATTTCGGGAGGGTTTTCCCGGTTTTTGTGCGGTTTGGGATGAGGAGGCACCAAAGGGGGGTGAGACGTGGACGGGAAGGGCTGGGAAATGATCCAGGGAGGGAATTAAAGATGGAATAACTGGATCCCGGGGCATTCCTGGATCCTGGGACATTCCTGGATCCCGGGGCATTCCTGGATCCTGGGGCATTCCTGGATCCCAGGGCATTCCTGGATCCCGGGGCATTCCTGGATCCTGGGGCATTCCTGAATCCCAGGGCATTCCTGGATCCCAGGGCATTCCCGGATCCCAGGGCATTCCTGGATCCCAGGGCATTCCTGGATCCTGGGGCATTCCTGGATCCTGGGACATTCCCGCATCCCAGAGCATTCCTGGATCCCAGAGCATTCCTGGATCCCAGGGCATTCCTGTGTCCCAGGGCATTCCTGGATCCTGGGGCATTCCTGTGTCCAGGGGCATTCCCGGATCCTGGGGCATTCCCAGATCCCAGGGCATTCCTGGATCCTGGGGCATTCCTGTGTCCAGGGGCATTCCCGGATCCCGGGGCATTCCCAGATCCCAGGGCATTCCTGTGTCCCGGGGCATTCCTGGATCCCGGGGCATTCCCGGATCCCAGGGCATTCCCAGATCCCAGGGCATTCCTGGATCCTGGGGCATTCCTGGATCCCAGGGCATTCCTGAATCCTGGGGCATTCCCAGATCCCAGGGCATTCCTGAATCCTGGGGCATTCCCAGATCCCAGGGCATTCCTGGATCCCGGGGCATTCCCAACCAGGAAGAGGATCTTCACATCCAGGGGAACATCCTGGGAATTCCTCCAGGTGCTTTTAAACTCCCGGGGGTTTCGGTGTCCCAATCCCACGAAATGCGGTTTTTAGGGAAAAACGGGAGCCGTTGGATCCGGGTAGGTTCTCCAGAGGTGGTAAAAATCCCGGAAAAAAGTCAGATCCCGTGGGATGGCACTTGGGAAAACCCAGGAGGAGAAAATCCAGGGAGGGATTTGCAGTGTCCTGGTTCGACCGAGCCTGTTCCTCATTCCCAGTGTAATTCCAGGATCCAGTTCCCCTGTTCCTCCTTCCCACTGTAATTCCAGGATCCAGTTCCCCTGTTCCTCCTTCCCACTGTAATTCCAGGATCCAGTTCCCCTGTTCCTCATTCCCACTGTAATTCCAGGATCCAGTTCCCCTGTTCCTCATTCCCACTGTAATTCCAGGATCCAGTTCCCCCGTTCCTCATTCCCAGTGTAATTCCAGGATCCAGTTCCCCTGTTCCTCATTCCCACTGTAATTCCAGGATCCAGTTCCCCTGTTCCTCATTCCCACTGTAATTCCAGGATCCAGTTCCCCTGTTCCTCATTCCCAGTGTAATTCCAGGATCCAGTTCCCCTGTTCCTCCTTCCCACTGTAATTCCAGGATCCAGTTCCCCTGTTCCTCATTCCCAGTGTAATTCCAGGATCCAGTTCCCCTGTTCCTCATTCCCAGTGTAATTCCAGGATCCAGTTCCCCTGTTCCTCCTTCCCACTGTAATTCCAGGATCCAGTTCCCCTGTTCCTCATTCCCACTGTAATTCCAGGATCCAGTTCCCCTGTTCCTCATTCCCAGTGTAATTCCAGGATCCAGTTCCCCTGTTCCTCCTTCCCACTGTAATTCCAGGATCCAGTTCCCCTGTTCCTCATTCCCACTGTAATTCCAGGATCCAGTTCCCCTGTTCCTCATTCCCAGTGTAATTCCAGGATCCAACTCCCCTCTTCCTCCTTCCCACTGGAATTCCAGGATCCAGTTCCCCTGTTCCTCATTCCCACTGTAATTCCAGGATCCAGCTCCCCTGTTCCTCATTCCCACTGTAATTCCAGGATCCAGTTCCCCTGTTCCTCATTCCCAGTGTAATTCCAGGATCCAGTTCGCCTGTTCCGTCTGCAAATTCCGGAGTTTTGAGGAGGAGGAGATCCAGAAGCACCTCCAGAGCAAATTCCACAAGGAGACCCTTCGCTACATCGGCACCAAACTGCCCGACAAGACCGTGGAGTTCCTGCAGGTGGGAATTCCAGCCTGAATTTGGGAATTCCAGCCCGAATTGGGGAATTCCAGCCTGAATTTGGGAATTCTGGCCTTCTGTTGGCAATTCCAGCCTTAATTTGGGGAATTCCAGCCTTAACTTGGGATTTCAAGCCTTTTGGGAATTCCAGCCTTAATTTGGGATTTCCGGCCTTTATTTGGGATTTCCAGCTTTAATTTGGGGGTCCCAACCTTCATTTGGGAATTCCGGCCTTAGTTTGGGAATTCCGGCTTTCTGTTGGGATTTCCAGCCTTGTTTTGGGAATTCCAGCCTTCTTTTGTGATTGCCGTCCTTCTTTTGGGAATTCCAACTTTCTGTTGGGAATTCCAGCCTTCATTTGTGATTTTCAGCCTTAATTTGGGGAATTCCAGCCTTAATTTGGGATGTCTAACCTTCATTTGGGATTTCCAGCCTTCATTTGGGAATTCCAGCCGCCTTTTGGGAATTCCAGCCTTAGTTTGGGAATTCCAACCTTAATTTGGGGAATTCCTGCATTAATTTGGGAATTCCAGCCTTAATTTGGGGTTTCCAACCTTCTTTTGGGATTTCCAGCCTTAATATTTGGAATTTTTCAGGCTTAAGATACTGGATTTCCAGGCTTAATATTTTGAATTTTTCAGGATTGATTTGGGATTTTCCAGTTGCAAGATTTTTTCAGGCTTGAGTTTGGATTTGGGGGCATTCCCTAAGGATTTGGGGGCATTCCTCAAGGATTTGGGGGCATTCCTCAAGGATTTAGGGTCATTCCCCAAGGATTTGGGGGCATTCCCCAAGGATTTGGGGGCATTCCCTAAGGATTTAGGGTCATTCCCCAAGGATTTGGGGGCATTCCTCAAGGATTTAGGGGCATTCCCTAAGGATTTGGGGGCATTCCCAAGGATTTGGGGGCATTCCTCAAGGATTTAGGGGCATTCCCTAAGGATTTAGGGGCATTCCTCAAGGATTTAGGGTCATTCCCCGAGGATTTGGGGGCATTCCCCAAGGATTTGGGGGCATTCCCTAAGGATTTGGGGGCATTCCTCAAGGATTTAGGGGCATTCCCTAAGGATTTAGGGGCATTCCCTAAGGATTTAGGGGCATTCCCTAAGGGTTTAGGGGCATTCCCCAAGGATTTGGGGGCATTCCCTAAGGATTTGGGGGCATTCCTCAAGGATTCGGGGGCATTCCCAAGGATTTGGAGTCTCCCCCCAAGGATTTGGGATCTCCCCCCAGGAATCCGACGGTGCCACGGGCGCGGGCTCCCGTTTTATTCCGGTTGGGATCATCCCACCTCTTGCTCCGGTGGCAATAGGGAGGGAAAAGCACATTCCCGGAGCTGGGAATTCCCGCCCCCCTTTCCCTGCAGGAATACATCGTCAACAGGAACAAGAAGATCGAGAAGCGGCGGCAGGAGCTGACGGACAAGGAGGGAACCAAACAGAAACCGGATCCGTTCAAGGGTGAGTGGGAATCCCCTCGGGAATTCTGGGAATGAGCGGGAAAACCCAACCCTTCAAGGGTGAGTGGGAATCCCCTCGGGAATTCCGGGAATGAGCGGGAAAACCCAACCCTTCAAGGGTGAGTGGGAATCCCCTCTGGAATTCTGGGAATGAGCGGGAAAACCCAACCCTTCAAGGGTGAGTGGGAATCCCCTCGGGAATTCTGGGAATGAGCAGGAAAACCCAACCCTTCAAGGGTGAGTGGGAATCCCCTCTGGAATTCTGGGAATGAGCGGGAAAACCCAACCCTTGAAGGGTGAGTGGGAATCCCCTCGGGAATTCTGGGAATGAGCAGGAAAACCCAACCCTTGAAGGGTGAGTGGGAATCCCCTCGGGAATTCTGGGAATGAGCAGGAAAACCCAACCCTTCAAGGGTGAGTGGGAATCCCCTCTGGAATTCTGGGAATGAGCGGGAAAACCCAACCCTTGAAGGGTGAGTGGGAATCCCCTCGGGAATTCTGGGAATGAGCAGGAAAACCCAACCCTTGAAGGGTGAGTGGGAATCCCCTCGGGAATTCTGGGAATCAGCAGGAAAACCCAACCCTTGAAGGGTGAGTGGGAATCCCCTCGGGAATTCTGGGAATGAGCAGGAAAACCCAACCCTTGAAGGGTGAGTGGGAATCCCCTCGGGAATTCTGGGAATGAGCGGGAAAACCCAACCCTTCAAGGGTGAGTGGGAATCCCCTCTGGAATTCCTGGGAATTTTCAGGCTTAATATTTGGGATTTTTCAGGCTTAATATTTGGGATTTTTCAGGCCTAATATTTGGGATTTTTCAGGCTTCATTTGGGATTTTCCAGGCTTATTATTCCAGAGTGGGATAACTCTGCTCCTCATCCGGAGCAACGCGTGGGGTGGATTTGGTCTCCAGGAGGGAATGTCCTGGATTTGGGTGGATTTGGGTGGATTTGGGTTGGATTTGGATGGATTTGGGTTGGATTTGGGTGGATTTGGATGGATTTGGGTTGGATTTGGGTTGGATTTGGATGGATTTGGGTGGATTTGGGTGGATTTGGATGGATTTGGTCTCCAGAAGGGAACATCCTGGATTTGGGTGGATTTGGGTGGATTTGGATGGATTTGGGTTGGGTTTGGGTTGGATTTGGGTTGGATTTGGGTGGATTTGGGTTGGATTTGGGTGGATTTGGGTGGATTTGGGTTGGATTTGGGTGGATTTGGGTGGATTTGGTCTCCAGGAGGGAACGTCCTGGATTTGGATGGATTTGGGTGGATTTGGGTGGATTTGGGTTGGATTTGGGTTGGATTTGGGTTGGATTTGGGTGGATTTGGTCTCCAGGAGGGAACGTGGGCCCCGGATTGGGAGCGGGCGGAGAGGGTCGGTTGGAAGGTGCCCGGTTGGAGCCGACCTGTGGGTTTTCCCGGGATTTCCCGGGAGCAGGGATCGGCCAGGAGCACTTCTTCAAGAGGATCGAGGCAGCTCATTGCATGGCCTGTGACATGTTGATCCCGGCCCAGAACCACCTTCTCCAGAGGCACCTGCGATCCGCCGACCACAACCGGAACCGCAGGGTGAGCCCGGCAATTCCGGAGGGCGGGAATTCCGGAGGGCGGGAATTCCGGAGCGCGCGGGGCTCGGGGACGGCTCCGGAATCCCGCTGGGAACCGTCTGCCGAGCCAGAGCCCTGGGCTGGGCTGGGCAGGGCTCGTCTCCTTCCTTAGGAGGTGGAAAAACGGGGAGAGGGGGCGGGAAAAGGGGGCGGGAAAAGGGACATCGGAGCCTTTTCGGGGGGATGAAACGAGGTCCCTTCTCCCGACGTTCCCCAGGGGAGGGGCTGCCTCGTTAAATATGCAAATGAGGGGGGGCTTGGAGGGCGTTTGGGGAGCTGATGGACGGGATGGAGTCCATGGATGAACCGGGCTGGGAAGGGATTGGGATGCCGGGGATGGGGACGCGGGAATGTCGTTCGGCTCCTCCGGAGCGGCTCCGTCTCCGAGCGTGTGCCGCGTTATCCGGACCCAATCCCGGGATATCTGGGGGGTGTTCAGCCCGTCCACAGCTTCCCCCGGGGTTTGACTTAGCGGGGGTGAGGCAGGTGCTCCATCCATCCATCCATCCCTCCATCCATCCCCGTTTTGTGGGATGGGAGAGCGGCTTTCCCAAGCCCTGGGGGGGAGGAGGAGGAGGAGGAGGAGGGAACCCAAACTCCCGATCCCGTTGGAATTCTCCCCCTCTGGGCTCACCCCGGGCCCCGTCCCGCTGCAGATGGCTGCCGAGCAGTTCAAGAAGACCAGTTTACACGTGGCCAAGAGTGTCCTGAACAACAAACACATCGTCAAGATGCTGGAAAAATACCTCAAGGTGAGTCCGGGAAAACGTCGGCGCCGAGCGCCCGGAGCGGCCTCGTCCCGGAGCGGCCTCGTCCCGGAGCGCCGGCACCGGCGGCTGCCACTCGCTGCCTCCTTATCCTTAAATCCTGGAGCTCTTTCCTCTGCAGGCGGTTTGAGCCCCTCCTGGTGGATTTTTGGGATTTTTTTTTTCCCCCGTTGATTTCCCCCCTCCCCTCGCAGCCGGTGCCCTGTGCCGGCGTTCCGGGCGCCCGCGCCGGGATCGCAGCCCGGAAACGGGAATCAAAGCCACCAAAACGCCAAAGCTGGAGCTTCCCAAAGTCCCCCCCCACCCCCGAGCGAGGCCTTGGGGGGGACGCCACAGGCCCTCGTCCAGGGAGGGCAGGAAGATTCCTGCCGGGATCGGGTCCAACCTGGACGGCTCCCGACCCACCTGGAGGGGAATTCTCCCCCATTTCCAGAGCCGGGGCAGCTCCAGCAGTGAGGAACCCCCCCGGGATCGGGGAGTGCATCCCATTCCCGGGACAAACCCTCCTATTAGTCCCCCCCACCCCCTTTTTTCCCTCCTCCTCTTCCCTGGGGAAGCGGCGGAGCACAGCCCGGCCGACCTCCGGAGCCGAGACGGAGCGCGCGGAGGGGTCGGGATCGGGGTCGGGGTCGGGATCGGGGTCGGGATCGGGATCGCTCGAGGCCTCGCCGGCGCCGGGAATGGCAGGACGGAGCCGGGAAGGGCCCGCGGGGTCTCCGGAGCGCGGGGGGATCGCGCTCCGAGCGGGGCCGGAGCCGAATCCCGGTGGGTGTAACCGAGAGAGAGGAAAACTCGCCTCCTCCTCCTCCTCCTCCTCCTCCTCCTCCTCCTCGTCCTCCTCCTCCAGGCGAAGAGGAAAAGAAGCGCCTTTGGCTCCTTGTTGTTCCCTGGGAATGCGGGAACAGCCCCGGATCCGGCAGGAGGCCCCGTGCCTGCAGGCAGGGGCAGCAGGTGCCCGCGTGTCCCCCCAGCCCGGGGCAGCGGCCGAGCCCCTTCCCGGCGCACGGCTCGGCTTCGGCCCCACCCCGGCCGGAGCCGGACCCCAAAAACAGGGAAAAACTGCGACTCCAACCTCTGGGGCCAGGGAAAAGGGATGTTGAGTGCGGAGTTGGCCAGGTAGGATGGCCCTGTCCTGTTATCCTGGCATAGGATGGCCATGTTCCCATTATCCTGGCATAGGATGGCCCTGTCCTGTTATCCTGGCATAGGATGGGCATGTTCTCATTATCCTGGCATAGGATGGCCCTGTCCTGTTATCCTGGCATAGGATGGGCTTGTTCCCATTATCCTGTGTCCCGTTATCCTGGCATAGGATGGCCCTGTCCTGTTATCCTGGCATAGGATGGCCATGTTCCCATTATCCTGGCATAGGATGGGCCATGTTCCCATTATCCTGGCATAGGATGGCCCTGTCCTGTTATCCTGGCATAGGATGGGCATGTTCCCATTATCCTGGCATAGGATGGCCCTGTCCTGTTATCCTGGCATAGGATGTCCGTGTCCCCATTATCCTGATGTGGGATGGCCCTGTCCTGTTATCCTGATGTGGGATGGCCCTGTCCTGTTATCCTGATGTGGGATGGCCCTGTCCCATTATCCCAGTGTAGGATGGCCCTGTCCTGTTATCCTGATGTGGGATGGTTATGTCCCATTATCCCAGCCTAGGATGGCCGTGTTCCTGTTATCCTGACTTAGGATGGCCGTGTCCCTGTTATCCTGATGTGGGATGGCCATGTTCCCCTTTTCCAGCCTCTCCGAGCTGGTTGATGTCGGATGGCCGTGTCCCTGTTATCCTGGTGCAGGATGGATGTGTTTCCTTCATCCCAGCCCAGGATGGCCCTGTCCTGTTATCCTGGCATAGGATGACCATGTCCTGTTATCCCAACACAGGATGGGCCATATCCCATTATCTCAACACAGGACAGGCATGTCCCATTATCCTAGCCCAGGATGGCCATGTCCCCATTATCCCAACAGGGGATGGCCATATCCCATTCTCCCATGGCAGGACATCCGTGTCCCGTTATCCCAACAGGGGATGGCCATATCCCATTCTCCCATGGCAGGACATCCGTGTCCCGTTATCCCAACAGAGGATGGGCCATATCCCATTCTCCCATGGCAGGACATCCGTGTCCCGTTATCCCAACAGATTGTGGCCATATCCCGTTATCCCAACACAGGACATCCGTGTCCCGTTATCCCAGCACAGGACATCCGTGTCCCGTTATCCCAACAGATGATGGCCATATCCCATTCTCCCAATGCAGGACATCCATGTCCCATTATCCCAACAGATTGTGGCCATATCCCATTATCCCAACACAGGACATCCGTGTCCCGTTATCCCAACAGATGCTGGCCATATCCCGTTATCCCAACAGATGCTGGCCATATCTCGTTATCCCAACAGAGGACAGTCATGTCCCATTATCCCAGCAGAGGATGGGCCATATCCCGTTATCCCACGGCAGGACATCCGTGTCCCGTTATCCCAGCAGAGGATGGGCCATATCCCGTTGTCCCATGGCAGGACATCCGTGTCCCGTTATCCCAACAGAGGATGGGCCATATCCCGTTATCCCACTGCAGGACAGTTATGTCCCGTTATCCCAACAGATTGTGGCCATATCCCGTTATCCCAACACAGGACATCTGTGTCCCATTATCCCAACAGGGGATGG